AAGAAATGTATGGTCGTGTGGCAAGACTTGGAGTAGGTTTTGCTTGAATTTTTTAAAATTCTTATGAGGAAAAAACGTAAATGAAGATCGGCCTATAGTACAAAAACCTAATCCAGTTTTCTCTTTTCAGACCTCATGTCATTCTCTAGAGTATCATTTCTTTGTTTAACGGTTTTGCACAAGAAGACACATAAATATGGACATGACAAAAACAAAGAATATTATTCTCGAGAGAATGACACGTGGTCTGAAAAGGGCAACACATTACGCCCAAGTGGATAAGGTACATTATACAGCTATTTCAAAAAAGKTTGAATACTGAATACTGCATACTGAATAGTGCATTCCAAGACCGAAGTGCATTATGGGTCATAGTGACATTGTCTAGAGTAGGATTAATAATAATTATTTATTCTATTTTTAGTGTATTCCATCTGAAACAATATACTAACTACATGTAGAGAGTTAATTGCTGTATATTTACTTTTATTTCAAATTAACAAGACCCACAATGCACTTTGATTATTTCAAAAAAACGTCGAAATCTGAGACCGAAAGGAATTGTGGGTTGTAAGCTGTAAATTGTTTGTGGTAKTAATTAGTAGTTCGCAAAAAAGTTAATATCCCTGCTCGCGCGCTCTAATAAAACCATTGGAAAAAGTCACGTGATGGGGGCCGGACGGGTTGACGTAAGCGGGCCGGAAAAACCCGTCCGGCCCTGCTCGAATCCGCGCGCTTTCTTTTTTTTAATTATTCTTATTTTCGTGAAGGTCATATGATAAAATGCTTATTGACCGAGTTAGGTCGGGCCGTACGGGGAAATATTTGGCTCTCGGTCATTTGCACGGACCTCGATGGGCTCGGTCCGTTTTTTGCCGTATTTTCCCGTACGGTCCTCCCACTCAGTCAATAAGTACATAATCTTGATATACTAACTTTGAGCGATGATTTGCGCTGGCAAACTATCTGGGTAAGTGTATATTGAATTTTGAACGAGAAAACACTCAGTCCCCCRCAATTCCAATCGGTCTCAGATTTCTGATTTGAGATATCCAACGGACGTTTTTTTGAAATAGGTGTATCAAAATGGGGAGATARGTGTTTTATTAGAGCATTATGTTTATATTCAAGGTTCGTTGGTCTTCTCGATTAAATTATTTTTTTGCGCGTCACGCTGGATATTATATTATATAGGTTGTTGTTTAATTATTCGCCGAGTAAGGTAAATATTTATGGATAATCACTTCGCCTGRGGTGAAGAATCGTCTTAGTATCATCACACAGGCAATTATTTGAAAGAAAGCTATATTTCTAACATTTATATAGATTTTATATGTTGAAAGCGGAACGCATCATTTAGTGAATTCTATTTTTATACAAAAACTGTGCAGAAATTTTCTATATTGATACACCAATATCCGGGGGGGGGTACTTCCACCCCAACTTGGGTAGGGGTGTGCCACCAGGACCTCAAAACCCTGACCCTATCCCAGACCTAAAACTTTCATTTTAAATGCCCTACACCAGACTAAAACTAAGAATTGTACACCCTATCCCAGACTAAAAGACGGACAAGACGGATATTCAATAGATTGCAATCAATATTTAC